GTCGAAGACGACCAAGTAGGCTTCCAGACAAACGTAGACCGTGGCTTTGACCTGCAAGACAGCTTGTTTCTTGAGGATGAATATTCTTTTGAAGATGTGGCTATGCCTGGGTCAGAAGATGGGGTTTCGTGTGGTTTCTTGTTGTCAGACCTTCACGCGGAACCTCCTGATCTCAGCGAGCTTGGGGAGGATGGGTTCTTGGCAGAAGCAAGCGTTGGCTCAGATGAGCCTGCCCGCCCCAGAGAATGGATTCCAGGCAAGAACATCGGCAATTGGATTCGTCGGAGGTGGGCCCCTATCGCGGAACAATCGCAGGTTCTTCTCTGCAACCTTGTCCTGAACTTGAAGAAGGTTCCAGGACAGGATCGCCACCCCCCCCCATTGAAAAGCAACAGTTTTCGTCGGCAGAAAAACAAGAGAGCAGTATGTTGGGAGTGGATGTGTTTGGCACCCCGCCGAATCAAAAAGAACAGGTAGGGAATAGTATGTTTGGATTGACCGTTTTAATTTTCGCAGAAAAGGCAAGAGGTATCGTCCTTGGATTGGTTTAGCCTGAAAGGACCTGCGTTGCAAGGGTTGCTCTCCCACCTTCCCATGTTTTCTGCATGCAGCTCGTCTAGTATGCCTTTTCGTGTGGCTTCCTGGCTAGTGCGGGTGCCAGAAAATACTTTGCGGACAATGTTCCAGAAGGTGCAGAAGAATCAGTGGGAACCTCTGCTGACAGAACGAGCGATTGCGATACAGGAGGAGAAGGACAATCAGCCCACTGTCGATCTTGAGCTGGAGAGGTCAAAGATCTTGCGGCTGTTAGTGCGTGAAGTGCTGGGTTGCTTCGGCTTGATTATACTAACCCGTTCAGCTGAAAGGTTTGGGGTGGGGCTGTTTGTGTGTAACGATGCACTTCAACTAGGCAAGAAATGGTACCGCAGAAACAAACACTGTTTTGGTGTGGATGTTTGCAAACAGAACGGCCATGACCAGTGTGAACCAACGTGCTCCAAACAAGTCCATGTTTGTAAGCAGGGGTCATCATTGATGGCTTCATCCCAGCCACCACAAGCCACCAAAAGCCATCGCCCCCCGTGTGCAACCAGGCAATTCAGCTGCAGGCCTGCCAGACGTTAACTATTTTCGCGCCTGCAAACGCTACGAGTTGAACGGCGTATCGGTTGGATCAAAGTGTCCTGGTTGGAATAAATTGGAATTAGAATGGCTCTTGGTGCGTCACCTTGGACTTTGTTGTAGCCTTGTGTTGAAGACACCTGTTGCCATGCCCCAAACACAGTTCTCATCGAACATGTCCTGCAGACTCTCATTGCCAAGACTCCTTGCAATTACAAGGTTGCAGTTTCAAGGCCCTTGGTATCAGCCTGGAACGGACCTTTCCGATGGTGTGTGAGTTTTTTGCCTTGTCTTGTTTGGTGGCGCCAGCAACAGCACTTCTGGAGGTTGTTCCTTGTCCCCCCTTAAGTGCGCTAGCTGAGGTATCACACTGCCCAGTTCTGTAGGCTGGTAGAGCACTTGGGCTCCACTGTTCTTGCCATTTTAGATGCTTCTGACTTGCACAAGAAGCTGCCAGGCACTGGCATTGCGAGCCATTTTTTCGTTATCGTGGGACACAGGAAGTCTTGGCCGGGCTGTTTTTTCCAAGCATGAATCTTTGGTGGCAATCTGCGTTCAATTTGTGAGTGCAGAGACCGGAAGTCTTGAAGCAAGGTGCTTGGGCACACCTTCCGTAGGTGCACGCCATGATGGTGCTCACCAAGCTGAAATTGTTTTAGATGCCCTCTCGAGGCACCCTTGTGAGCTGCAGCTTGAAGAGCTGCGTTGCCGGCTAGCGGCAGTGGGCGGAGACGGCGCTATTACGAAAGGCGGCCCTCGCGCCAAGCACTCATCAACCCAGTCGGCAGAGATTCTTTGGCATCGAGTTAAGGGCAAGCAAACGCCTATCGCGGTTTGGGGCCTCTTTCACAGATCAGACCGCGCCCAAGTGGTGGCGGCCGAGAAAATTCCGATGATACAAGAGCTGCTTGACGTGGCAAACGAATGCAATAGATTGTTCGGAGTAAACTCAGGCAAGGTGCTGCTACGGTCAGTAGCTGGTGAGCTGGGTGAGCGTGCCCTGGCAGTTGACACCCTGTCAGGGACACGGAAGTTGCTTGCTTCAGAGTTGGCAGTTTTTTTGTAATTCCCGATTCGTAACGGCGGAAAAGCTGCTTCAGGATGATGAGGTTTTCAGACAGCCGTCGGACTTTCGATCGTTTCCTTTCGGAACTGGTTTTCCATGGCCACACACCGCTGCGTCAGTTTTCTTCTTGGAGAGTTAGGTGAGGCTTGGCGGCCTCTGTACGTCCATGTATTTTGTCAGACTCGTAAGCCTTCCACCATCATGATATTATAACATGTACAGCAACAAGGGGCCTGCACTATAATGCTTCCACACCTAGACTCTGAGGCTGGCATCTTTGGCTGCTGCTCCTGCGAACCTCTACCGCAATTATAAGACATACTTTGCAGGGATGTTTGTCAGGCTGGAATATGCGGACCGTGGCTTTGGCTCCCAAACCAAAAAGAGCTTGACAGAGATGGGGCGAAGACTATCTGAGGGCAGCTTCATTGTCTTCATGCTTATCTTTGAGGCCAGGGTTCAGGGCAAGAAGACCTGTCGAAGGATGGTTCCAAGGATAGCTAGCATCATGTGAGCCAAGCTAACTTTTTTCTTGCGATTTCATAAAGTGGCGCGATGTGTGAAGAACCCTGCAGGACATTTCCCGCTTGGTCCTGTCCCCATACACATTGCTAGTGCAAAAGCTTGCTGTGGAGCCGTGGATCCAAATGGCCCATGGACAGCGCTTGTTGCAGTCTCTTCGCCAGAGGCAGGCCCACCTGCGAAAGATCAGGCCTGTGATTCCATGGCCCAACAAAATGTCTCTCTCTTGCGTTGCAACATTTCTAGCTCATGATTGCAGGCTAATGTAGTTGTGTTTGCGCCCTTTCAGGAGATTAGTATTTCTTGCTGCCCTTCTCCGGCAGTATTGCGCAAAAGATGACCTCAAGCACTGGTGGAGAGCATGGGCATATGCTCCTGAGGGACGCGCCTTCCCTTGTTTGCTGCGACACTTGGACGAGTTGATGCTTGGTTGGAGCTTTCATGGGTGCGATTTGCTAAAGGACTGGGTTTGTTGATTTGCAAATGGTTGAGGGGCGGGACGTGGTTATTGTTTGGAGTTTGGAGGGTGCCACCCCAGCATCCCACCTTGATTGCTTTATTCTTGGGTGGGGGGTGCCTGTGGTGGTGCAGGATTGGCCTGTGGATCATGGAACAGTTTGCGTTGGTCCCCGGTGCCAATGCCCAAGCCAAACGACAATGAAGCGAATGAGGAAGACTACTGTTTGTGGTGCCAAGTTGCGGGTGCCAGAATGGGTGGTCGTAGGGAGCGCCCACGTGAAGGTCGAGGCCATCCATGACCTGTTGGATTGCAGCCCTCGATATCGTACTCTTGAGATGGAGGGACAAGCTCCAGCGCGGTTACAGAAGGAGTCCCGCTTTGTCAGGTCTGCAAATTCCTGCCGGTGTGTCGTGGACAGGAGCGACAGACTTGCTGTTTGGGCATGCCTTGAATTATTATTGATTCAATCAAACTCAAAGTGCTTGTGCCATGGTACTGTGGGGCTTCAATGCCTCACCACCTGATTTGACTTTGCGGACGCGGAAGCGGTTGGATTGGAGGGCCTTCCCCAGTGGGTGCCGTTCGCTTCCACCGGCTAGCGGCTAGTGTGTGTGTGTGTGTTTGTGTGTGTCACACTAGTTTCTATATAGGTCTTTCGCACAGCAGCAGGGGAGTGGAGCAGGCCTGCAGAGCTCGACTTAACAAAGCTCTCTGCAGTGTCCTGAGGATATCACCGAAGATGTCCAGTGACGCACCTGCACCTTGTTTGCGGCGTTCTGCAGCTACGTCCCACTCTAGTGATCAGGCTGTTTATAATAGGTCTGCAGATGTGCGTCGGCCGTGCATTCGTCGTCATTTTGTCGCAGGACTCGGCCGTCGTTCCTTCACTCAGCCGATCGGTTTGCGCCACATATAACATTTTGTTAAACACCTTTCAGGTTTCGGACCCAGCGCTTTGCAGTTCCTCTGTTTTCTTCAAGTCAAGTGAGACGTCCGTACATGTGTGACCCAACCTCACTGTCTCTGCCCCTCATCGGGCTCCATCCTAAGTATGACGCAGTCCTTGCACCCCACTGCGGTCAAGGATGTGATACCCATTTTTCGGGAGGTTGACGCGCATATTTTACAGCTGACCCCTGTTGTAATTTCTACGACTTGGATCCAGCTCGTGAAGTTTTGCCGACAAGGCGGTTTTAATTCGCACGTTGGTTTGATATCGCAGGATTGACTGAGAATCCCGCTTTGGAGAGCGTTCCATGCTTGGTTTATGCATGTCACTTACAGCTCGATGGTTTTTTTTGCACGATGTTGGATTTCTTGACGAATCAGCCGGTTACCTTGCCAGTGTGCATAGCTCCGAACGTGAGATCTACGGCAGGCACTGGCCCTATGGGCTCGGACTCCTCATGATAACATTTCACACTTCGCGCGTGCCGATATCGGCAATGGGTCACACCTAGTTTAGGTCTTTCGCACAGCAGCAGGGGAGTGTAGCAGGCCTACAGAGCTCGACTTAACAAAGCTCTCTGCAGTGTCCTGAGGATATCACCGGAGATGTCCAGTGACGTACCTGCACCTTGTTTGTGGCGTTCTGCAGCTACGTCCCACTCTAGTGATCAGGCTGTTTATAATGGGTCTGCAGATGTGCGTCGGCCGTGCATTCGTCGTCATTTTGTCGCAGGACTCGGCCGTCGTTCCTTCACTCAGCCGATCGGTTTGTGCCGCACATAACATTTTGTTAAACACCTTTCAGGTTTCGAACCCGGCGCTTTGCGGTTCCTCATTTTTCTTCAAGTCAAGTGAAACGTCCGTACACGTGTGACCCAACCTCACTATATATCTCTGCCCCTGATCGGGCTCCATCCTAAGAGTGTGCGTGGGATCTTCATAGCACGCTACGCCATCTTATATAGAATACATAGTTCATGTATGTTCTTGGTTTCCCTGTTCAAACACACTTCACACCTTAGAATTTCAATCGCAAACCCATTAGCGCAGGTGGGTACCTTGCAGATCAAAGGCCAGAAGCATGCCCAGTAGGCCCTGCCGCCTAACCCTGTTCTCCAGCTCCAAATCGTCGCAGAAAAGAAAACTGAGGTCACCACATTCTTTTTAATGCAACCAAGCTGGACCGACCAAGGTCCCACCACCGGTTTTTTCAGAGCCCCAAACATCGAACAAAACGCGTGCTTGCGTGGCTAGGAATTTTCCGCACATGTATGACAAGCTCAAGGCTGCTTTGAGGATGGGTTCGGACTGGCTTGGAGAGCTGGCGCATCAGTATTCTGAGTACTTTGGAGGTGTTGGAACATCAGAGTTCGTAGAGGAGCTTTTGCAATGCATGTCAGTGGCCTTTGATTGGCAGTACTTTTTGCAAGAGAATGGGCGATACCAAAAAGAACACAAGGAAGCCTTCTTAAAGCTGCTCAAAGCATTGAGGCCAGATCTACAGCGTTGTTCGTGGCCAGACCCACAGACCTTCCCACATGTGGAGCGGCATTGGTACGACAAGGAGCCGAAGAAAATTGGGGCGCAGCACTTCCAGTTAATTCGGAGGCTCAAGGAAGAGTACGCAAAGCGACCAGACTGGAGCAAAGTTGTTGGTTGGAGTGTGGTTCCGGTTGTGAGGCCTCCTGCCACAGAGCCTGTGGCTGTGTTGGTTCGTGTGCTGCCTGTGAGTTTGGTGAGCCTGATTTGGACTTTTACACAAGGAGAGTTGCCGTGCTTCTATGTCCAAGAAGCTTCTCTTCGTCAGCCTGGGTTTGCTTCAGCTTCTCGTGGAGCACGAAAGCTGGCAGCAGCATTCCGGGGCCGGATTGGGAGCCTTGGGGCGATCAAGAGAAACAAAAAGTTGGAAACTTTTGGTGGTGTCTTCGGAAAGCTGGTTCGCGTAGTCCGAGAACATCGAGAAATCCTGGCTTCAGCTGTTTCTGCTGCACTTGACCACGATCCAACTCTGAACGAGCCCCGGCCCGCTGACGTTACAAGACTCACTCCTGCAGGGCATCTTTGGCGTTGCGTGGTTGTTCACCACCGCTCTCGCGCCACGGCTGTGTGTGACAGTGCAAACGAGCGGTACTTTTCGCTGATCCACCAGATATTTGATGAGGATTCGACACTTCCTCCTCACCGAATAGCTCAGAGACTCTTGCTCCGAGAAGGTGGCGTGGCTTGCGTTGGGGGCAGCAGGGACGAGCTGCTGGTGGGTCAGGTGGCCGACGTTTTGGCCCAGGAGTTTGGGAAAAACCCGCTTCTGAAGCGAAAGAGAGCTGACAATGACAATACATCTTGGTGCCTTGGACAGTTGGCCGTGCGCAGCGATGCCAGAGTGGGGACAAGGCACGCAGCCTTGCGAGAGGCTGGAGGTGCTGACCTGTCTGGCTTGGCTGCCAGCACTGATGCGCAAGATGAGATCCGGGAAGCTTGCAATAGGCACGCGCCTGCTCTTCTTGAAGAAAGTGCACGAAGCCGCCTGAGGAAGGTGACAGGTGCCAAGGGCATGCAGGCGCTGCCAATTCTTGCTGAAGACCGCCGCACAGAGGCCAAAAGCAGAGCCCCTTCCACGCTACAGGAGCGGCTGAACTTGTGGCTGGAGTCTGACGAAGGAGCAGGATGGTTGCAGTCCAGGCGTGAGTTGGAGAAGTCGTAGCAAGATTCGTGCCAACCTGCTTGAATGAAAAGTTGGCAGGCCTGGCTTTCCGGCGTGCGGGCTCAAGTTTTGGTGGAGATTCCAGAGATCAGAAACTGTTGCCGTTTCAAATTCCCAGGTCATAGGACCCACCCTGCTTGCCCTGACAGAAGAATGAACGGAGTGTTCTCCGATGGTCGATCCCCCAGCACTAAAAGAGAAACTCGCCCTGCACAAACGACGGGGCGGACAAAATCGCCCAACCTCGAAACCGACACCGCTGGAAGCCATGAACGCTGGTCGGGGCTTCTGCGGATCGCCCTATATATATAGGGGTATAGGGGACGTGACACCTGATCGAGTTGTTTGGGAGGGACCTCAGTTGTTTCGAACGAAAACTTTTTTTCATTTGCCTCGGATTCGGGCGATGAGGAATGGGTTCGCTCCAAGCTCTTCTTGAAGAAGCGATTCGGCGTTGTGACCCGGAGCTTCTCGCAGTGTTGGTTGCAAAACGGTTAGTAGGTGAAGCCTAGCTCGGCCATAGCTCGTGACCTTTCAATAGATAGAAAGAAATAAATCAAAAATACACCGCCTTCAATAATATCAACATGATTCATTCCAAATGTTTTGGAAACGGTTTCTGTGTAATTCGACGAATGAGTTCTATTCTGTCAATGTTTTCCCCTAGAAACAGGTTATTTTTCAGGAGACTATTTTTTTAATGGAAAAAAGAGATCTCCTGATCTCGAACTTGCTAGTTCGTGTTTTAAAAAAACAGACCCTCCTGCGAGCCTCCGGAGTCAGGGGTCGGACTCGACTCCAGTCGGTTCGGGGTTTGGACCCTCAAACCGTACCCATGCAGTTGATCAGGGTGTGGATGTGTAGGGCACTAGACCTCTTCCTTAACCTCCCATCGGATATAAGCGTCAACGTTCCCAACTCTTTGCCCGGACTCCAGCCTCGTTCCACACCAGGAATGCCGGAAGTGAGCTTCTACTTTGCCGCGCTTGTACTATGCCGCGCTTAGAAAAGTTCGCGCTTCTCCCGTCGACGTGCCGCACTTCCAAATTGATTTTGAAAAAGCTGAAATAGCAGACCCTGAAGAAAGGTGGTGTGTGAAATTTGGTTGTGCATGTGCATTTTTTGTGCGTTTTGATCGCTTTTGTTTTACTTTTTTCATT